TGTACTGGAAGTGTTAGCAAATGCAACTAAACAAGAGAAAACAATTAAAAGCATAACATTTGGAAAGGAAGAAGGAAAACAACTTCTATCTGCATATAAACAAGAGACTTTAGGAAAGTAGTAAAATGAACTTACAGAAATTATATCCTTCATGTGTGAAAACAACTACATGATATAATGGAGGAGAAACTCCATTTATAATTAATATATAAGTAAATCCAGGGATAAACTTAACAAAAATGTTTACAACCTATATGAGGAAAAACTATCTCCTGAAAATCACAAAAGAAGGCTTCAACAAATAGACATACCATGTTCTTGAATAGGAAGATTGAGCATCATGAAGATGTCAATCCTTCCAAAGTTAGTTTAAAAATTCACTGCAACTTCAATAAAAATACCATCTGCTTTTTTTCTGGAGCTGGAAAAACTGATTATAAAGTTCATTTAGAAGAATAAGCAATCAAGACTATTAAAAAAAAACAACCCTGGAAATGAAGGGCTGTGAGAAGGAGGGTAACTAACCCTATCAGATGTTAACATAGTATAAAGCCTCTATTAATAAAACAGTATGGTGTTAATGCATGAATAGACAGACAGATGGGACAGAATAGAAAATCTGGAAATAGATCCAGATGTATATGGAAATTTAGCATATGATAAAAGGTAGCATCTCAAATCAGAGGAAATGGACTTTTTAATAAGTACAACTGGAAAAAGATTAAACAAGATCCATTGCCCACACATTATACAAGGATAAATTTCAAATGGATCTGATATCTTATTGTGAAAAATGAAACCAAAATTGCAAAGAACTATACACATGCACAAATGAGTGCGTATAAAACTGATAAAATCTGAATAAGCTGTGAGGACTGTACCGGTGTTGGTCTCCTGGTTTTGATATTGTATGGTAGTTATGTAAGATATTACCATAGTGGGAAACTGAATGAAGGGTACATGGGGCCTCCCTGTGCATTTTTTGCAACTTCCTGTGAATCCATAATTATTTCCAAATAAAAAGCTAAATGAAACCATTCAAGTACCAAATTACACACAAATTTCTTTATAACCTGGGAGTAGGGAAAACCTTCCCAACTATGACTCAAATCTAGAAGAACAAGGAGGAAAATTGATAATTTGGGCTGCACTAAAAAGAAAAAAACAACCTTTTACTCACCAAAAAAATAACACTATTAAAATTTTTAAAAACCCAACTAGGTAAAAAAAATTTTAACAAAGGGTTAATAGGCATACTATATAAGAACTTGTAAGCATGGGAAAATGGGCAAGAGCTGTGAACATATTCTTCACAGGTAAAGAAATGAAAATGGCTCTTAGCCATATGAAAAAATGGTCAGCCTCATTTATAATAAGAGAAATAAAAATTAAAACTACATGGAGGGGCTGGCCTTGTGGCGTAGTGTTTAAGTTTGCATGTTCCACTTCGGTGGCCCAGGGTTCGCTGGTTCGGATCCTGGGCACAGACCTACTCACTGCTCATCAAGCCATGCTGAGGCGGCTTCCCATATAGAAGAGCTACAACTCCACAACTATGATACACAATTATGCACTGGGGCTTTGGGGAGAAAAAAACCCTACATGGAGATAACATTTTTCATCAATTAGATTTTATTAAAAATGTACAAGTTAGATAATGTAAGTCTGTTGGGAAGACTGGGGAAGCAGCACTCATTCGTTGCTATAGGAATGCAAAATAAACCACTATGAAGGGAAAATCTGGCAATATCTCTGAAAATTATGTTTTTATCTTTTGACCCAGCAGTCCCTTTTCTAGGAATCTATCCCACCGATACACTGGCAAAGGTAAGAATAGTAGAAGAGGGCTGGTGCTGGTGGTGTAGTGGTTAAGTTTGTGCTCTCCACTCAGTGGCCCAGGGTTCACGGGTTTGGATCCTGGACGCGGAGCTACACACCGCTCATCAAGCCATGCTGTGGCGGCTTCCCACATACAAAATAGAGGAAGATTGGCACAGATGTTAGCTCAGGGACACTCTTCCTCAAGCAATGAGAGGAAGATTGGCAGCAGATGTTAGTTCAGGGCCAATCTTCCTCACCAAAAAAAAAAAAAAAGGAATTGTACAAGGATATTGACTTTATGCATTACTTGTAATAGATGAAAGACTGGAAATAACCGAAATATCCATTAATGGGATTGGTTGAATAAACTCACGGCGTTTACCATGAATTCATACTGACCCCTCAGATTCCAATCTTAACACCACAGCATTCTTCCTTGCCCTTCCCCATCCCATATTTGTATTTTCTTTATCTCACAGGGAAACCCTGTGAGCATTTCCCGCAAACATCAACGCATGTATGTATTCATGTGCTCAGTCCTAAATACATACAAAATGGTTTCAGAATAGCTATATCTATACCACTACCAACACCAACCCACTAAGGAAAACGTTCCAGATTTCTTTGTATTTCTTTTTGCCTTTAGACTGCAGGTATATATTTCAAGCACTATGAAAGTTACTTGGATTAGCTCCTTTTTTTTCCTTAGTTATGTTATCCAACTAATATACAGTTAGTAATTTGTTTCTCTTTGTATTTACATTTAAAGTTTAAAAAGACAATTTCGAGACAGGAAAATTTGAGCATAAGCTAAGTATTAGATGATATTAAAGAATTATTTTTAATTTGTTAAGTGTGGTAAAAGTATTGGGATTATGGTTTAACAAAAGTCCTTTTCTGTTAGTGATACATGTGGAAGGTATTAACAGTGGATGAGGTGATTGGGATTTGCTTAATGGAGGAAGGGGTGATGAAATAAGATTGACTGCATTACTCTTGAAGTTGTGTTTATCAGAGTTTATTATACTACTCTCTCTACGTTTATGTAGGTTAAAATTTCTGTTAAAAAAGGGGGACACCAAAAAGTGGGAATGTAATCTATAAGTGCATATTACCTCATATTTTTAAGGGTACAAAAGCAATGTTGAAATGGATTCTTTCTTTCCGGTGTATGTACGTTTGTGTGAGTGTGTGCATACATATTCCCATGCTTATACAGTTAGTTCTAACTTACAAATGGTCTGTTCACTCACTTGGCAAAATTTCCTGAGCGTTTACTATGTACCAGGCACTGCTGTAGAAGCGCTTAATTCTCTGACTCTGCCTTTCCAGGAGCTTATATCTCCTGCAATCATTGGCTTATTTATCTGTCCTCTCCACAATATTTTTTCTTTTTTTAAATTTTTTTGTGTGAGGAAGATCAGCCCTGAGCTAACATCCATGCTAATCCTCCTCTTTTTGCTGAGGAAGACTGGCTCTGAGCTAACATCTATTGCCAATCTTCCTCCCTTTTTTTCCCCCAAAGCCCCAGTAGATAGTTGTACGTCATAGCTGCACATCCTTCTAGTTGCTGTATGTGGGACGCGGCCCCAGCATGGCCGGAGAAGCGGTGTGTTGGTGCGCGCCCGGGATCCGAACCCCGGCCACCAGTAGCGGAGCGCGCGCACTTAACTGCTAAGCCACGGGGCCGGCCCTGCACAATATTTTTAAGATGTTCAGGATGCCATGGAAACACAAAAGAGGAGTTCTTAAATCAGATTTTGGAATCAGGGGAAGCTTAGAGAGGAGTGATATTTGAGTTGTTTTAAAGAGATAAGCAGTCAGGTGAAAGCAGAGGCATGGAAGTGGGGTGGGACTGGGGAGATTTCCTGGCAGAGGATACAAGCTCTAGATTGAATGAGGATGGAAATGGCATGATAAACTAGGGAAATGAAAAGTACTTCAGAATACCTGGAGTAAAAGACAGTGGTGGGGAATGAGGCTAGAGAGGTAGGGAGAGGCTAGATCATGGTGGACATTGTGAGTGCCAAATATGAGTTTGAAGTTTATCCTGAAAGCTGTTGAACATTTTTACAACTTTTAAATGGGGTATTGACAATAGGATGGATAGAACATTCTTTCAAGAAGCTTGGCTATGAAAAGGAAGAAACAGTTACTAGAGGGAGAGAGAAGTTTTGTTTTTTTACATCAAAGACTTGAGCATGCTTTTATGCTGAGGGAGACAACTATATTCCAGCATTTTCTCAAAGCAGCAGAGTTAAGGTGATGAGTTTTCAGGCCAGTCCCAATAAGCTGATTTGCTTCTGTACTCATATAAAATGTATAATATGTAGTACATATATAGAAATATATTGCAGATAAATACACACTTCAGTCTCACTAGATACACAGCAATTTATAGATTACTGGAGTTGAAAATAGTACTCTGTTCATTAGAGTCTTAGCATTGTATATTCAGAAGACTTCATACTGAAAGTTCCATTCAAGGTCCTCTATAGCATTATCTGGAATTTTAGGGATAAAACATTAATGATATTCAAATATCTGTTATAAAAACAGTGTTCTAAAAAGATATTTCTATGGGTATAGGAAAAAGACTAAAAGGGCTATCAAATGTCTAAATCTGTTTTATGTGGGTTTTGGGATTATAGATAGTGTTTTCTTCTTTGTGCTTCTCTGCTTTTTCTTCCCAATTTTTTTTACACAGAACGTGTTACTTTTGTAGTCAGAGAAAGTATTTTTTTAGTTACCTAATTTTCAATATGGTTTTTGTCCTATTCTAAACTGCTGGGTATTAGCGTAGCAGGCAAACAACATTCAATAACAAGTCAGGAAACTTCCAGTTCTTACCAGTCAGCAGAGCAATATATAAGTCATGCAACATAAAATCTATGCCATCTTCTTCATAGGGTTGTTTTGAAGTCAGTTGGTAAGTACGGTAAAATGTCTTATGATGTATAAAGTACAACGTTATTATGAATTGCAGATAAGTTAATAGTTTATAGACCAGCTTTCCTGACTGGGGAAGAGTAAAATAGTAAAATTTAAACTTGCTGTCAAATACTAAGTTATTTTAATGAAGCTGTCTATTTATGAGGTTCAATAGATTGTTTTTTATAGTTAATGAGGTTGTTTTAGTGCTTCATCTTTTTTTTTCATGTATTTTGTTTTTCCTTTAGGTAGTCAAGCCACATACTCCATTAATAAGGTTCCCTGACAGAAGAGACAATCCTAAACCCAATGGTAAGCTGAATATTCTATTACAAAACAATATTTCTCATTTTAAAATCAGATGGATTATTGTAGCTTAGATCAAAATGGTGCCTTAGGTTGCATGCAAGTAGAAATTAACTTTTTGTTACCTCCATTTAAAAAAGGTACAGTGGATGCCTCTGAATTTTTAAGGATACTGAGTTTATATAGGGGAATTTTTGTTCTACTTTTCTGCTATCCTTTAGAAGAATCTCCTATGGTTACATTTGCAGCGATTGTGAGGAATAATAACCATTCCTATATTTCTCTCCCAGCTAACCTTCTTTTCTTTCATTCACTCATTTATCTGTTCACTTAATCAGTAAATGTTTCTTCGATTGCCTTAGACCTTACCAATCATTGCCTATAAAGTAATTGAAGATTCTGAAAAAGTCTTGTTTTTCTGTGATCCCTCCTTTTTACCAGATCCTCTTTCTCTGTCTTTATTATAAGACATTTGATCTTTAATTCAGGGAGAATTTTAACACTTTTACAACTTTTAAATGGGGTATTGACAATAGGATGGATAGAAGATTCTTTCAAGAAGCTTGGCTATGAAAAGGAAGAAACAGTTACTAGAGGGAAAGAGAATTTTTGTTTTTTAACATCAAAGACTTGAGCATGCTTTTATGCTGAGGGAGACAACTATATTCCAGCATTTTCTCAAAGCCGCAGAGTTAAGATGGTGAGTTTTCAAGCCAGTCCCGACTTTCTTATTTCCCATTGTAAGATATTACCTGTAAACTCCACCATATGACAAAACTTAAGTAACGTAGGTTATCCTTATGGGTTGAACTCCACTACCTACAAATTTCATTATTTTACCAACTTGTTCAATTTGGTAATTCACTCACTACCTCATTTATTTTAAAAAGAATTTTATGAAATTATATATAGCTCCTCAACTAAGTTACTCTATAATACTTACCTTTTAGAATTAAAATACTTATCATTTCAAGATTTACTTGATTATTCACTAATAGATAACTCAAAATAGTATTTTAAGACACCTAAACAATTTCTCTAATTACATTGTTTTTTATTTCAGTATCAGAAGTTTTGAGATCAGCAGGACTACCATCTCACCCTTCTTCGATTTCACAGCATTCTAAGGGAAGTAAATCACCAGATTGGCTGATGCATCAAGGTCCACCAGATACTGCAGAAATAATAAAAACATTACCTCAGAAATACAGAAGGAAACCTATGTCTCAAGAAGAAATGGAATTTATCCAAGTACGTTGCTGCTCTTTATCACAATACTGTGCAAAACACCTTAACATTTTTGGCTTTTGGAATTTCATATGCTGATTTACATGCTCTTCCCATTGTCTTGTCAAGATGTGTCCATAGCTAAGACAGAGATGGTCAGGCAGGCCAGGACTGTGAGAAATAAACCATGTCCCAGCCCTCAGTAAATGTGCATGAAGGGATATATGTGTACAAGTGTGATATGGTGAATAGCAATAGATATAACCATGTGAAAAAAATCTCTTTAGGGCCCTCAATAATTTTTCAGATTGTAAAGGCCTTCTGAGACCAAGAAATTTGAGGATCACTGATCTAGGTCAGCTTTTAGGCACTGATATGAGTGCCTAAAAGCTATGAAAAACCTGAAATTGTTTTAAAAAAACTAAAGATCATTTGCGTAAAATGGTGTAAATTTGTATAGTGGCCATGAAAACATTTTTTCTGTAAATCTAACACCTAATCTTATTGCTTTATTTTTTGCTTTTCAGCGTGGAGGTCCAGAATAATCAATCACTGACAATGTGGCTGCTGTTTGTCATCAGACAAAAGAATAGTCTTTACAATAAAGGACTTCCAAAATGACAAATAAGAAATTGTACATTAAACAACTCTAATAAATATTCTGTAAAAAAAAAAAAAGAAATAGAAAATTTAGATGGACACCTGTATCTCCTAATTTATGTATCTTGGTCAGCTTCTCCACAAGCTTACCTAATGGTTTATATACTTTATACTTATTAAAGTATACATTTTTAAATGTTAGCCTATTAATTTACTCTTGATTATCAAGTATTACCAGTGTTGAACTATTAAAAGCACACAATCTCTCGTAAACTATCACAGGTTTCCCATAATTTCACTTTTCTTTCAGTTTCTGTTTAGATATGGAAAGAATTTATCAGGCAAAATTGCTGCTTTCGGGAAGGGCTTTTCCCGAAATTGGATGAGGATCAGTGAAATAATGACTCCATTATTTGCTCTTAATTCTCTTAACGTTTTTCATTCACAAATTTACTGGAGTATAATTGGCTTAATAAGCGTATCCTACTGTAAATGATACAAATATAGGCAAAGTAAAACAAGTGGCTTTGTGGTAATAAGACTGGGGTGTTAACACAAAGATTATTTGTGACCTATATTCAGAAAAAAATGTCAATGGAAAATGGAAAATAAATTAAGAAATCAAGTGAGTATAGCATAGGAATAAATGTTTGAGTAGAAATTGCAATTTATTATGTTTTGAAGAGTATTAAGATAGTCTTGTTCTTTGGTTTATTTTACTTTTTGATTGAGATCATGTGTGCAAATCCTGATAACCATTAATTTTCTCAAATTTACTGTCTGAAAGCCTCATAAAATCAACCTAAATATTTACCTTATTAAGGCAATTTATGAAACTTTATTAATAGAGTCTTCCTGTGCCAAGGGTATGTATTATTGTCAAAGTAAAGCCTAACAAAGCTCAATAAATTCTCTTCCACACCTTTAATGATTTCTAAAATATGCTTTAAAGAAGTCATCCCTAAAAATAAGAGTAGATCATGAGCAATAGCAAAAGAGTAGATCAATAGCAATAGAGCAATCTAGCAATAGATCATGAGTAGAACTGTTGTCGAGTACGTTTCTACATTTGCCCAGTTCCCTATGGGTTAATGTTTACTGTGTTTTTGTTTTTACTATTTTAGAGTTGATCTTCTCTTCTAAATTCTTTTTTCTGGCCTAGTATAAGCGTTGGCAAACTTGAATATGAGGTAGGGGTTTGGTGCCGGCAATAAGCTGTTCTGGTGACTCGTGAAAAATACATGATTTATGATTTTGTTTTTTAAGAAATTTATTTGGGAAATTTTCTTAAAAACTAGCACTATTCTCATTTTTCTCTTAGCTTTCTCATTTCAGTAAAAAGAAGCCTAGGACATTTTTTTTGCTTTCAGAAACAGAGTGGGTTCAAGTAATTAAGACTAGCTTGAGGGGCCAGCCCATGGCTTAGCGGTTAAGTGCGCGCACTCCGCTGCAGGCCGCCCGGGTTTGGATCCCGGGTGCACACCGATGCACCGCTTGTCAGGCCATGCTGTGGCGGCATCCCATATAAAGTAGAGGAAGATGGGCACAGATGTTAGCCCAGGGCCAGTCTTCCTCAGCAAAAAGAGGAGGATTGGCATGGATGTTACCTCAGGGCTGACCTTCCTCCCCCCCAAAAAAAAACGACTGGCTTGAGCAATACTGTGGGCCAGCAGTTAGAAAGCCCAATACTGGAACTGCTTGCAGGGCACCTTACTACAGCTGCTGCCATGAAAGTCACAAAGAAAAAATATATCACTTTTACAGAATTTGTGAGTACAGGTATGGCAAAAAGGCATGTCAGAGGGAATTGCTGTCACAGGATGAGTTCCCAAGGAGGATGGTGTCATAGAAAGAATTCTGGCTAGGCTTAGAGTAAATAGCCTGTATTTTCATTTAGAGGTTAAGCACTTAAATATATGTAACCATTAGCAAATTGCTTAATTTTTCCAAGTTTCAGTTTTCCTCTCCGGTACTATACAGTGTGACAGGCAGGACCAAATTAGTGTATTGCCCATTACTTTGTAACAAATCACCCCAAGCTTAGTGACTACAAACAACAATAATCAATTAATAGCTCATGGTTTCTCTGGGTCAGGAATTCAGGCAGACACAGTTCTGTTCAGTGTCTCTCATGAGGTTGCAATCAGATGCCACCTGGGGCTGCAGTTATCTAAAGGCTTGACTGGGGCTGGACGATCTACCTCCAAGGTCGCTCACTCACGTGGCTGGCAGGTTGATGCTGGCTGTTGGTAGGAGGCCTCAGTTCCTCTCCACAGGGCTGTCTGAGTTAATTCATGACATGATGGCTGACTTCTCCCCAGAGCAAATGATCTAAGCATGCAAGGCAGAAGCAGCAATGCCATTTATGGTCTAGACTCAGAAGCTGCAGACACTGTCTTCTGCCATATTTGATTGGTCACACAGAACAGCCTGTTTTGTTGTGGGAGGAGACTACACAAGTGCATTAATACCAGAAAGCAAGAATCACTGGGGCCATCTTGGAAGCTGGCTACTACCAATGTGTGAAAGTGCTTTGTAAACTGTAAAATGCTATACAGATGCTGGATGGTATTTTATATATACAATGATCTAATGAACCCAGAATATCACCTATACACTGCCTTTGTTACCCTATTTAAAATGTCCCCAAATAGGAATTTACTTGTCAGCAGCATGGTATAATGGAGTGATTATCAATTCATATGGCATGGCACACTTGGGAACCTCAAGCCTCACAGGTGTACCATCAAATTTAGCTCATTGTTTAGCTTATTTCTACTACAAGTGAGGTTAGATTACTGTTACAGTGATGTCTTTCAGAAGGAACTTTGACCCAAGTCATGTGACACCATGTATCATTAGGTATGACTTGCCACAGTTAAAAGATATAAGTGGTAAAAGATGGTGTGTTTTCTGCAATGTATGAGAATTTTGCCCATGAACATATTAGAGCTCAATAAAGACCCAAGTAGTGACAAAGAGCTGGAAGATAAGCAATAGTAGTTATGTAATGGCTAACATAAAATGAGCACTGTCAGACACTATTCTAAGGGTTTTTTGAAGTGTGAGGTCATTTAAGCCTTGCAGCAACACTATGAGTAGTTCCTATTAGGAGGAAACTAGGAACAGCAAGGTTAAATAATTTGCCCAAGTTACACATCTAGTGATTAAATATTTGTAAGGCCAGTATTCAAACGCAGGTATCTAGATCCAGAGCAAGGACTCAACCTTTACTCTATTACCTTGATCAAATTGAGTCTTGGTATTCCTATGCCTTCCCAACATACCTCTGAAAATCAGGATTCTCAATTCTTAGAAACATCAAATGCTCCAGAGCTCAAAACCTTGAAATTATCCTGTTTCTTCCCAACAACCCATATCCAGACTGTTAGCAAATCCTATTGGCTAGAAGCCAAACATGTAGCACTTAATATAGCCAACTGGATTATTACAATAATTAAGCCAAACATGTAGCACTTAATATAGCCAACTGGATTATTACAATAATTCTCTAACAGGCCTTCTTGTTTTTCCTTGCCCTTCTAAGTCTATAGTTTAGTCTCTCACAACAGTCAGAGTGAACCTTTTAAAACATTAAGTCAGATCATATCACTTGTCTGCTCAAAACTCTGCAGTGGCTTTTCAGTGATATCTTTCTTGTACCACCCTGTTTAAAACTGCAAACCCTACTATCTCTATCCCCTTTCCCGGCTTTATGATCTCTATAGCACTTATCACTATGTATCAACACATATTTTACTTGTTTGTTTTCTCCTCCCATTGGAAGGCAGGGATCTTTGTCTTTTGGCCCGCTGACTTCTCAGAGTCTACAACAGAGCCTGGCACACAGTAAACAATATATATTCATTGAATAAATGAATTAATGTGTTTAAATTTTGATTTGTATGAAAATTTATGACAAAGTTGGGTACTGATCACCAGTTAACATTTAATTGAGCACTTACTCTGTCTAAACTTTCTGCATGTCTCATTTAATCCTCACAACCACCTATGATGTAGTCTATTATTATTTTCATTTTACAGAGTAGAAAACTGAAGACCATATGGTGTGTTGCAAAGCACAAAATTCTTGAGCTGACTTGGATTTTGTTTCCCTGCGTGTGCTTCTTCATAAAGGGAGTGGGCTAAGAATGCCTCTTGACCAGCCCTTAAGAACTGGGCACTCGTCTAAATAATCTGACATTGCGGGGCTAAGCGTTCATAGTAACCGTGGCGACAGGACGCCCTTGAGCAACAACTAGAAAGCGAGATCAGGGACAAGGCCAAGCTTTCCACACTCATACACACCTATTAAAGCCCGAACTCAGAACATCGTATTAGAACGGTGACCCGTCCCCAGTCGTGAAGAAAATGTCTAAGTTAAAGCGGTAACAGGGCGACACAGGCATCCACCACCGAAAACACGCCGCTTCCGGCACCAACAGGCAACCACGTGACAGGGCGGGGCGCATAGCAGCAAACCAGCGAGCCCGGCCTCGCACAGCCTCCGTAGGGCGGGCTCTGGCTGGACTTATTTAATGTCACTCACGCCCATCCCGGATGTGGGGGCGGAGCTAATAAAGCGTCGGAACCAGTGAACGGAAGTGGGTGTTGGGGGCTTAAAGGTAGCTTTAAATTCCTGCTGTGTTCAGAACTCGGCCCCTTCAGCTGGAGTCGGCTTCGCGCGACGAATGGCTGTGGACGTGAAGTCGCGAGCAAAGCGTTATGAAAAACTGGACTTCCTCGGGGAGGGACAGGTGAGACTCTGGGGCGGGATTCGGAGGGCCCTGAGCAGAGAGCGCCGAGCCGCCTCACGCTGGCAGGCTGAAGTGGAAGCCAGAGGACTGGCCTGGCTGCTCGTTCCCTTTGGGCGAGGCTGCCCAGGCCTCCTGCCGCCCCGCGGTACGCCCGCAGGTGAGCCCCTGAGCGGCCCCCTCCTTTCCGCAGAGCAGGCTGGAACGGGACGTGGACTGCCCCACCACGTTTCAGGCCGCCGCGAGTCGGCTCCGAGAACCCTGGTTCTTTGCTTCGCCCAAATCTAAAAAAGTAAAAAGGCAACCACAAACAGAAAAACTGCCGCAGACTTAACGTTATTCCTGTTTTTCTCTCTAGTTTGCCACGGTTTATAAGGCCAGAGACAAGAACACCAACCAAATTGTCGCCATTAAGAAAGTGAGTTTACAGTGTGTTGTTTTCCTTGAGTCTTTTTGAAGACGTCTGTATGTGTGAGCTGATGGATGGCCGTTTTACTGCTCTTCACCGTGCTCTGCTAATGAGGAGTTACCATGTCACTTTCAGAGAAAATAGAATTTATTAGCCTCTTATGTTCCAAGGTGGAACTCGGGTTGAACTAGTGTTTTGTTCCAATAATTGTAATTGAAAAGAAGAGGAAGCTATAAGTTATGATCGCTCTGTAAACTCAGATGTTGGCAAAGGGGACGAGTACTGCCCATCTGTTGGGTCCTCAGAGCTATTTAGTATGATCTTTCCAGGTCACTATTTCTGCCTAACCTGCATCCACGGTGTGTATCATATCTGTATTTTCTGTGTAAAGATTTACCATGAAAGGCTTTCACCAGCATTAACACCGTTGATGTGCTGCGTTTTTAAAAATGATTTAAGGAGCTTTCTTACTTGCATTCATTCAAGAAACTTCGGTCATATTTAGCTAACTTTCTATATGCCAAGCACTTTCACTTACATTTTTTCATTTAATCCCCAAAACAACCTTGTGAAGTAGGTAAAATAAATATCCCTGTTTTATAGTCGAGGTACCTGAGGCTAGAGAGATTAGGTGACTTGTCAAGATGACACAGATAGTAATTGCTAAAGCTGGGCTTTAAATCCAGGTGTCCTGCTGCCAGGTTGCTTGCTGTTTCCGCATACTCCTGAAATCAATAACCCTTTCAAGAAGAGGCTGTTTTTCTCACATCTCAAGGTCTGTTGGTGGGGTAGGTAACCTCCACCTTCCTATTGTTCCTGTTGCTGCTTTGAATCTGTTTCTCCTTCAGATTCCCTACGTCCTTTGAAGCTTATTGCCCTCATTCAGTTAACACCGGGCTCCTTCTCTTGGTCTCCACAATTATTCCTGACATTGTTTTTTCACTTTTTCTAACTTGTTTCATGGCGTTGTTTTCCAGCTTATGTTCTATAATCCAGTGTTGTAGCTACTATAGCTACTTTCTTGTACAACGCTTAACTCTCCTGACCCTTTCTAAAGTTACCTTTTCGACTCTACCCCCGGTTCACTATATTCTAGTCACATTGACCTTTCTGTCCCTTGAGCTCATTAACTTCATTCCAGTCCCAGGATCACTGCATTTGCCTTGCTTTGTGGTTACCATATTTTTCCTCTAAAACGTGGCATGGCTGATTCCTTTATCATTTAGGTTTCACTCAAATGTCTCCCCCACAGAGAGGCCTTTGCTGGTGGCTCTAGCTAAAACAGGTGTGCCTCCCTCCTTCCCTAGTGTTCTATGCCATATTTCTCTGTTATCTTCATAGCATTTATCAAAATCTTAAATCTTATCTATGAGTTTATTGTCTGTTTACTTAGGACTGTACATTTATAGACACTCATTAAAAATATATTTATTTGACTGACTGATACAATCTTTTCAGGCTGTTGGCACATTTTCTGTAGTTGTTTGAAAGTCCTAGTAGGTTTTTTTGTTTGCTTGCTTTTAATATTAATTAGGATTTAGAATCCATCCTGTTTCTCTGTGATAGACTTTTACACTTTGAAGGTGACTCATGGTGGAATCTTCTTTTACGTTTAATTTTTATTTCAAATAATACATCTTTGTGGTTTTAAAAGTCAGTTAAGAGGCCAAGGCTTTTTAACATGCCTGACTCTTCTACTCCTGTTTTTCAGTCCTTGGAGCAATGACTTTCAATTCCTATAACTGTTTAATGTGGTATTTACCTCTATTTCTTTAAGTAATATGCTTGTATCGTTATTTCTTGAGTGGTTCCCACCCCTCATGCCCCCTGTCCCCCTCGTTTTAGACATTATCTGTTTCCTACTATACACATTGAGGATTTGGTGCTTGTGGACCTTCTGCTCCCAACTCTCATAATTTCTGCTCCCGTTCATTTACTAACATTTATGTGTAATTTTACCAAAAAGGAATAATAAGCTATTCTGTGTTCTTTCACCTATTGCATCTTGCTTTTAAAATAGCATTGATCTACCTTATCCTTTCAAACAGATCATATTGAATTTATGTTTTGTAAAAGTTTATTTAACCAATCCCCTATTGCTGGCCTTTTGGAGCGTTTCTCATTTTTCAATATTTGCCTCAAATATATGTATCTCAACAATATATAGTATTGCATACTTTTAAACTTCAAATATAAATATATAAAATATTTTTCTGCATCTTGTTTTTCTGAATCAACATTATTTCTGAAATCTTGCACATCTATACATGTAGATCTGGTTTAGTCATGCTCACTGATGATTAGATTCTGTTATATGACTACACTAAAATTTGTCTATCCAAACTCTTGTTGGATAGACAAACTGTTTTCTTTAAAGTTTTCCCTTAATACAGCCCTTCTACAGACGTTCCTATGCGTGTGTGAGTTTCTCTAGAAAGTGTATCTATGGTTGAAACCAATTATGAATTACTGCTACATAGAGAATACACAGCATCAACCTCACCAGATATTGTCAGATTGCTCTCCAAAGTGGTTGGATCGATTTAACCTTCTGTCACATTCTCACCATCTTTGTATTGTCAGACTCTATAACATTTGTCAGTTAGATGGTATACGGTATGTGGTGGTTGTTTCAATTAATACTTCTCTGATTACCAGTGAGATTGGTCATCTTTTCTTAGATTTATTGACTTTTTAGACTTTCTCCTACCTATTTTTCTGTTAGGTTGCTTATATTTTTTTCTTCCTATTGATTTCATGGAATTCTTTATGTATTCTGGATATTGATCCTTTCTTAGAAATATGCGCTGAAGATATCATCTCCCAGTATTTGGCTAGGGTTTTAGATTAGTTATGGTATCTTTTGAGGCACAGAAATTTTAAATTTTAATCTGGTTGAATTTGTCCATTTTTTTCCTTTAGGGGTTTCCTTTTTGTGTGCTTCTGTGCCTCCAGATTATAAAGAATTCTACTATATTTTCTTCTAAAAATTTAAAAGTATCACTTTTCACATTTAGGTCTTTATTCCACCTGGAATTAATTTTTCTCTGTTGTGTAATATGGGGATCCAATATGTTTTTCCCAGCTGTCCCAACTCTATTGATAGGCTGTCCTTTTCCTGGTTAGTTATAACGCCAAGTCCCTCATATAGTTGTAATTCCAAGTTCCAGTGTATTTCCAGATGCATTTCTGCCCAATATTCTTTTCCATTGCTTGATTTTTTTCCATCCGTGCTTAAATACTACAGTGTCTTTAATTACTGTTGCCTTATAAAAAGTCTTAAAATCTGATAAGTTCCACATACCTGTTTTTCTTCTTCAAAATTGTCTTGGTTACTCTATGAGCCATTTGAGAAATTTGAAACAATCAGGAGAATTTGAAGATGAACTAGGTATTACATGCCACTATGGCATTATTGTTAATTTTGTTAGGTATGAACATGGCATTATGGTTATGTAAGAAAACGTCCATGTTCTAGAGATGCTTACTTAAGTATAGTATTGGGATGAAATGACATGAAGTCTGGGATTTGTTTTAAAATATTTTAGCCATCAAAAAGGAGAGGACGAATGAATAAAGAAGTGTGGCAAAATATTGATAATTGTTGAATCTAGGTGATGAAGTAGATGGCTTTGTGAAACTAGTCTATTTTTTATTATGTTTAGAAAACGTAATAGTTTGTTAAATTGTCCTTAGTAATAATTTTTTAAATTGTTTGTTCTTAGCTCCTTACTCTTCCATATAAGATTTAGAATTGATTTGTCAGTGTCCGTGAAAAATGCTGTTGAGCTTTACATTTAGTTGCATTGAATTTAAAGAGAATTGACATATTTATGATATTGAGTCTTGTTATCCATGAACATGATATCTGTGTTTATTCTGTTCTCATTTTTAGGCATGTTTTAATAGTGTTTTTTAATTTTCTTCTTGGAAAGCTTTGTACATCTCTTGTTAGATTTATTCCTAAGTGCCTTATGTTTTTTGGTGCTATAATAAATAGCCTACCTTTAAATAAAAAGTTCTGTTTGTAGTATATAGGTGGGAGATATTTTTAAAGGTGGAATAGCTATATTTTTTCCAGAAGTAATCTTTTTTTTTAAATTCTTGATTACATTTAATTCTATAAAGTAGTGAGTAAGAGAATGTTTAACTTAGTAATCCGTTTTGTGTAAGATTGAACCTATTAATGCAATTTGTTGTGCTTATTCACAGTAACAAGTTCAACTGTTTTCTTTATCACAATTTGTAATTTTGCTTTTAGGAAAATGTGGTCCCCAAGAGCATATTATTGGGCATATTAAACATGTCATTTTATGTTTATATGTTACATATGTCTTCCCAAATAGGCTCGCTTGAAGTGATTTTTTTTATTTAATACCAATTTTTTAAAAAATTTTATTTATTTATTTTTTCCCCCAAAGCCCCAGTAGATAATTGTATGTCATAGCTGCACATCCTCCTAGTTGCTGTATGTGGGATACGGCCTCAGCATGGCCAGAGAAGCGGTGCGTCGGTGCGCGCCCGGGATCTGAACCCGGGCCGCCAGCAGCGGAGCGCGTGCACTTAACCGCTAAGCCATGGGGCCGGCCCAGATTTTTTTTGTTTATTAGCCAGTATGCCCTCAGTTATTTGTTCCACGTTTAACCTTGGAAAGATAAAGGAGACATTTATTTTCTTAATTCCGTTATTTGAGTGTGCAATTCAGAAACTTAAGAGACAAAGACTGGTAGGTACTTAATACTTTCTTGTATGGATAATTTTGCCTTTCTGATTCATGATTCCCACTCCCTTCTTGCCTACTAATACTTGCTACATATGAGTTACTACATGTTTTTGCCATGGCTAAGTTTTTGAAAAGTTTATGTATTATGTGTTGTCTAAATAACTTAACACATATTTAATGTGTTTGTTTTTTTTCCCTCTACCAGATCAAACTTGGACATAGATCAGAAGCTAAAGATGGTAAGTATTTCATGTAATCTGACAGAACAGGAAAGCTTTGTATTCTCACTAAAGAAATGAGCAGAGTATTAATTAGAGTTAACAGTGGTTCTGAATAGAGTTATTGCAGGGTCCCAGAATAGTAAACATAGACTCAGGATAGAGACAGGCTATCTGTGGTTTCTCCCATTTGGGTGTTCAGAGGAACATTCAAGCCACCTAAGTAAATGGAAGGCAGCAAGGTTATTAGTGGCTTGTCTTGCTGTCTTCATTACTGTTTTAGGTATTGTTACAAGCCGTTGTTTCTTCTTTTTCTGAGCTTCTAATTACTTTGAAAATTCAGGATATGCCTTCATGAAAATACACAAGGCTTGCTGTGGAATTAGGTATATGGGGGAAAAGATTTCTTTATCCCTTCTTCCAAAACCTTGTTTTCTAGAGTGCTAAAGTCCTATTTAGTCATCAAGAAATAGTTCCTATAAAAAGGACCCATCACCTATGTAACAACTAGTACCAGATCTTATTTTTAATTTTGATTTCTATCCTTTGCATTGGGAAAGATACTATCTTATCACTATTTGCTGTTAACATCATAAGTTTTCTGTTAGCATAAAAAATCTACTGCTAACATCCATAGGGCAAGAGAAGGGAAGCTGTTGACTTATCGCGTATATGCTACACACTTACGCATGTTGTTATTTCAGCAGCCTTCAGATCTGATATGCTACAGATAAAGCGAATACTTTTTTCACCATTTAGCATAGTCTGCATTAAGCTATTTTAAAAATAAGGCAATATAAAAGAAAAATAGATATGTCATAAAAATTGTCAAAATAGCCCTTATTTTTCTGTAGAATATTTATTGCTATTTCCTGAGAGACTAACCTTTCCCAAAAAGTAAGTTTGTAAGAAGCTTTGAGGTTTCAGAATTATTTTTCACTTTTTGCTTTGCCTTTTTATGTAGGTATAAATAGAACTGCCTTAAGAGAGATAAAATTATTACAGGAGCTAAGTCATCCAAATATAATTGGTGTGAGTATGATCTAAGTTGTTTCTGGGGTTTGGGACCCTGCCTTTTCTGAATGTGGTAGATGTTGGTTGAAGGTTCAGCAGGATGAGTTGTTCTTTGAGCGTTGCAAAAAAGTTTAAAAGTTTATCAGGCTGAAATGTATTTTCTATCCTAATTATTCCTGTTGACAGTATCTTTAAAACTATACAACTGATGAAATAAATTAAATATTGGCATGCAGGCTGATTTTGTCAGAAATCATTTTGAAGCCTAGAGAGCCCTAATGTGTAAGACCTTGAGCAAGTTCCCTCACAATTCTGTGCTATAGTCCCTGCCTCATAGGGTTGTGAGACTAGCTAATTGAATACACGTCAAGTTCCTGTAATAGTGCCTGGTGTAGAGAATGCACTCATTCAACGAATGATGGCTGCTGCTGCTATTTATAGGATTTTCTTAAGCACCAAGCTTGGGATTTTTTCTGAATTGGAGACTGAGGTGAGATTTTTGTTAATTAATTTCTTAATTGTAGCTGCAAAAATTTGGGGGGCAAGGTTAAATATTTAGTGATTTATGAAAAATAGTGAAGTTTAATATTTTTGCACCTCAGAGTACTAATTCTTAGCAAAAAAAGGATAAATATCAAATTTAATAAAATTATTTAAACTTTACAAGGAATTATCAACAGCCCAAATGCTTCTTTAAGTTTTTTTTAATTACTTAAATTTAAAAAGTTGGTATAGGGCCGGCCCCGTGGCTTAGCAGTTAAATGCGCATGCTCCGCTACTGGCGGCCTGGGTTCGGATCCCGGGCGCGCACCGACGCACCGCTTGTCCAGCCATGCTGAGGCTGCGTCCCACATACAGCAACTAGAAGGATGTGCAACTACGACATACAACTATCCACTGGGGCTTTGGGGGATAAAAAAAAAAGGAGGAGGATTGGCAATAGATGTTAGCTCAGAGCCAGTCTTCCTCAGCAAAAAAAGAGGAGGATTAGTGTGGGTGTTAGCTCAGGGCTGATCTTCCTCACAAAAAACAAAGAAAGAAAAAAAAAGTTGGTATAATACTGTCATGTGTTAATGGAGAATCACATTTTGATTTTTTTTGAAATTTTGCCTTGCAGCTGCTTGATGCTTTTGGACATAAATCTAATATTAGCCTTGTCTTTGATTTTATGGAAACTGATCTAGAGGTAAGATTAAGATTCTTAGAGGAATTGTTTTTCTCTGTTTATCAAAAGAGAGCCTAAATGTTTATTTTCTAGTTATGAAGATACTGGTAGTCAAAGGAATGCCTAGTTTTGTTGAAATCTGGATCATTTAGCCATATACCCAGTGGTAAATACAGAGATTAGAATTTCGTTAGCATTTCTGCCTACCAAGTTCCATATACCTTATTGACATTATTTTCAGAGAAATGAGTGTTAGGCCTTTGAAAATTTAGACCTTCTTTTCCGTATTATCACAGAATATCATCCTTTTGAAAGCCAAGTTTCTTTTTTGAGAAAAATAAGATCTTATGCTTTTCATTAATATTAATTGAATCTCAAAAACTGATAATCCAAGGATGTGAAACAACTAGAATTCTCATACACTGCTAGTGAGAATGCAAAATGGTACAGCACTTTGGAAAGTAGTTTGGCAATTTCTTATGCAGTTAAATATGTACTTAAGGTATGGTCTAGCAATACCATTGCTAGATATTTATCCAAGGGAAACAAAAACACGTCTACACAGAAATCAGTTGGTGCACAGATATTTAGCTTTATTTGTAATTGCCCAAACTGGAAACAACCCAAATATCTTTCATCTAGTGAATGTATTAACAAATTGTGGTACATCCATTCAATAGAAGGCTAATTGGGAATAAAAAGAAACGTACTACTAATATATGCAGCAGTATAGATGAATCTCAAATGCATTATGCTCAATGAAGGAAGCCAGGCTCAAAGGCTATATATGAGTCTGTTTATATTATATTCTGGAAAAGACAAAACTAAAGGAACAGCAATCAGATCACTGATTGCTGGGGGTTAGGAGGAGAGGGCAGGATTGAGTACAGAGGGGCCTGAGGGAATTTTGGGGGATTATAGATGTGTATCTTGATTATGGTGGTGGTTACACAACTGGATGTGTTTATTAAAACTCATGGAACTGTGCACTCAAAAGGGTACATTTTACCTAAATCTGATTTTTAAAAAAAGAAAATGGGGATTTTTAGCTCATATAACTGGTAAGTCTAGGAATAAACTGGCTTTAGGCACAGCTCACAGATAATGCCCACAGAAGTCAGTCTTGCATAACTCAATTCTATTTTGTTCTCTGTTTCTTTCATTCATGGGCGTAATTTCTCAATATAGTGGCTCAGGCACTTCTAGGCTTATATCTGTAGAGTTTAATAATCCCTGAGGAAAGAAAGTGCTTTGTTCCCTTTGATTCTAGCACAAGTACTTGGCCTGGTTGATTGGCGTGGCTTAGATCACGTGTCCATCCCTGAAGCAGTTCCTGGACAGCAGGCTGCAGTGTAGTGATTGGCTGAGCCTGGGTCATGTTTCTACCTCTGTAGGTCACAGGTGGTGGTCAGTCCATGTGGACTGAGCTGGAAACAGGTGGTGTCCCAAAGGAATATTCAAGGCTATTATCAGAAGAGGCTGTGCATTCTGGGGCAAGTGAAAACAACAGATGTTCGCTACATTGATGCCTGAAAACAAACTAGGAGACAAAGCACTACTTTCTTTCCAAACGAAAGGTCCTTTCCTTAATGTGTAACTGGAAATTCTAACAATACTTCCTACACAGAAATCAGAGTTAGGCAATCTCTCTTGAGATTCTTCTGTGTGAAAAAAATCTCAATTTTTGCCTATAAATGATTTTATACGGTGGAGTTTATTTGGAATAATAAAATGAACCTGTATATTGTATACCTGCTTTTCAGGTTATAATAAAGGATAATAGTCTTGTACTGACACCATCACACATCAAAGCCTACATGTTGATGACTCTTCAAGGTTTAGAATATTTACATCAACATTGGATTCTACATAGGGTAAGGTTTTTAACCAAGTATGATTGCTTTTTATGTTGTAGTCAAGTTTTAGGTAGCCAATTTATTATGTAAATAGTCTGAATATGTAAATTGTTAAAATAAAGATATAGCTAGACCGTTTTATCCCACCTTCTTCTTCTTTGTGTTCCCTTCAGTTGTTCACCAAGTGGTGCTGTGAGGACTCTAAATTACTATGTGAAATTTAGAAATGAAAGAAACCCAGTCCTTCATTATTTTCGTAGATAAAGAGCTAACTTGCTAAGCGACCTGACTAAGGTTATTATTTTTTTTCAAGGTCAGTAGCTGGTAACTGATATAGTAATAGAACCTAGATCTTCTGGCTTTAAGTCCATTGTTCTTTCTGCTATACTATTGTTAGGGAAAAAAACTACAGTGAGAGTCTGAATTAAATTATACGACGTCAAAATACTTTTAGAAAAATAATAATTTCTAGTAGCTCTAAAATTCTATGAAGTAATGAAATAAAATTTCTGAAAGGGTTGAGTCATTGTTAGGCATATTCAGCTATTGGAACAAAGTTGATAATTTAGATAGGTAGACATTCTTAGGCACCCTGTTTAGATAAATAGCTAAGAATTTATAATTTGTGTAGTATATGAGTAATTCTCATATACCATTTTGCCATAGATTTTGAAGAATACTTTCCTCATCCTTTCTAAATGAATAATGTTTTTATTTACTAAAGTTCAAGTATATTATTGTTACTAAGTTAATAGCAGCAACCGTTTATTGAGTGCTTAGTATGAGCCAGTCATTACACTAGGCTATTTACAGAAATTATTAAATTTAATCCTCACAGCAACCCTGTCAAGTAGGTAAATTGAAGCTCAGTGAAATTAGGTACCTTGACCCAAGGTCTCACTAAATAATATGACTAATCTTATTTTGCTTTGATAGCATTTCAATGAAAAAAATAACATTACTTAAATTTGAGGTGTTACCCTGTTTTTGCTAAGTTCAAAGTTAAGCCAGCTAAATGTATCATTATGGTATTCCCCACCCTGCTCACTTGTTTGTTTAAAACCTCCATGATATAGGACCTAAAACCAAACAACTTGTTGCTAGATGAAAATGGAGTTCTAAAACTGGCAGATTTTGGCCTGGCCAAATCATTTGGGAGCCCCAATAGAGCTTATACACATCAGGTTGTGACCAGGTAAGAATCCCTTAAATAACTGAAAGCTTATATTGTGCAGGAGATTAATCACAAGTGAGTGTCATTTGGTTTTGCTGAAGTATCTTAGCAGAGTTCAGGAGTCATGGGTGGTGTTTTAAAAATATAGCCCTCTTTATGTTATGTATATCTTACCACAATGGAAAAAAAATACAGCCGTTTTTTCAAATGGAGTTGAATTAATTCAGTCCTCAGGCATTTACTTAGTAACTTTTGGGACTAATTTATACTTCTTTTACATTTTAGTTAGGTAGATGGAAACTTTAGTGGCTATTCTTTTACATCATCACTTGATTTTTGGGGCCTAAGTTTATATCAGTCGGTGTGAATGAATATTCTCTAAACAAAGCAGCGCATTCGTATTTGGATTTTTCATATTATTAGTACTTGTATTTTCTGCCTATATATATATATTTTTTTTTTTTGGTGAGGAGGATTAGCCCTGAGCTAACATCTGTTGCCAATCCTCCTCTTTTTGCTGAGAAAGATTGGCCCTGGGCTAACATCCATGCCCATCTTCCTCTACTTTATATGTGGGACGCCTGCCATAGCGTTGCTTGATTAGTGGTGCATAGGTCCACACCCGGGATACGAACCTACAAACCCTGGGCTACCGACGCGGAGCGCACGAATTTAACCACTATGCCACTGGGCCAGCCCCTATATTTTTTATGTATAAAAACTAACAACCACATTAAATAGGGAGAGTAGATGTTATAATTCTTGTCAGGATGACATTTGTTAATTTCCAAGACTCTTAAGGATCTGAGAAGATCTTCAGATTTTCTATGTATTCTTTTAAGTTATTTTGTCACTTTCTTCCAAATACAGGCATACCTCAGAATATTGCAATAAAGCAAGTCACATAAATTTTTTGGTTTTCCGGTGCATATAAAAATTATGTTTGTACTATACTGTTGTCTATTAAGTGTACAATAGCATTATGTCAGAGAGAAAGAATGTACATACCTTAATTGAAAAATACTTTATTGCTAAAAACTGCCAACCATCATCTGAGCCTTCAGCAAGTGGTAATCTTTTTGCTGGTGGAGGCTCTTGCCTCAATTTTGATGGTTGCTGACTGATCAGGGTGGTGGTTGCTGAAGGTTGGGGTGGCTATGGCAATTTCTTAAAATAAGACAACAATAAAGTCTGCTGCGTTGATTGACTCTTCTGTTCACAAGTGATTTCTCTGTAGCACGCGATGTTGTTTGATAGCATTTTACGCACAGTAGAACCTCTTTCAGAATTGGAGTCAGTCCTCTCTAACCCTGCCACTGCTTTATCAACTAAATTTATGTAATATTCTAAATCCTTTGTTGTAATTTCAACAGTCTTCACAGCATCTTCACCAAGAGTAGATTCCATCTCAAGAAACCACTTTCTTTCCTCATCCATAAGAAGCAACTCCGTGTCTCTTAAAGTTTTATTCTGAGATTGCAGCAATTCAGTCACATCTTCAGGCTCCACTTCTAATTCTAGTTCTTTTGCTATTTCCACCACATCTGCAGTTACTTCCTCCACTGAAGTCTTGAACACCTCAAAGTCACCCATGAAGGTTGGAATCAACTTCTTCCAAACTCCTGTTAATGTTGATTTTTTTTTTATTTTGAAGTTGTATTGGTTTATAACATTATATAATTTCAGGTGTACATTATTATATATCAGTTTCTGTTTAGACTGCATCATGCTCACCACCAATAGTCTAGTTTTTATCCATCACCATACATAAGTACCTGTTTACCCATTTCACCAACCCCACCACACCTTTCCCCACTGGTAGCCACTAATCTCTTCCTTTTATCCGTGTGTTTATCTTCCACATATGAGTGAAATCATATGGTGTTTGTCTTTCTCTGTCTGGCTTATTTTGCTTAACATCATACCCTCAAGGTCCATGCATGTTGTTGCAAATGGGACGATTTTGTCTTTTTTTTATGGCTGAGTAGTAGTCCATTGTATATATACACACCACATCTTCCTTTTATCCATTGATGGGCACTTGGGTTACTTCCATGTCTTGGCTATTGTGAATAATGCTGCAGTGAACATAGGGGTGCATAGATCTCTTTGTATTGTTGATTTCATCTTTGGATAAATACTCTGTAGTGGGATAGCTGGGTTGTGTGTTATTTCTATTTTTAATTTTTTGGGAAATCTCCATTCTGTTTTCCATAGTGGCTGCACCAGTTTGCATTCCCATCAGCAGCGTATGAGGGTTCCCTTTTCTCCATGTCCTTTCTGACACTTATTATTTCTCGTCTTCTTAATTATAGCCGTTCTGACGGGTGTGAGGTGATATCTCATTGTAGTTTTCATTTGCGTTTCGCTAATAATTAGTAATCTTGAACATGTTTTCATGTGCCTGTTGGCCATCTGTATATCTTCTTTGGAAAAATGTCTGCTCATATCTTCTACCCATTTTTTGATAGAGTTGTTTGTCTTTTTGTTGTTGAGTTCTATGAGTTCTTTATATGTTTTGGAAATTAACCCCTTGTTGGATATATGACTTGTAAATATTTTCTTCTAGTTGGTGGGTTGTCTTTTCATTTTGTTCATGATTTCCTTTGCCTTGAGGAAGCTTTTTAATTTGATGTAGTCCCATTTGTTTATTTTTTCTTTTGTTTCCCTTGCCCGAGGAGACATGGTATTTGAAAAGATACTGCTAAGGCTCGTGCCAAAAACTGTACTGCCTATATTTTCTTCTAGGAGTTTTGTGGTTTCAGGTCTTACATTCAAGTCTTTAATCCATTTTGAGTTAATTTTTGTGTATGGTTTAAGGTAATGGTCTACTTTCATTCTTTTGCTTGTGGCTGTCCAGTTTTCCAAACTCCATTTATTGAAGAGACTTTCCTTTCTCCATTGTATGTTATTGTCTCCTTTGTTGAAGATTAGCTGTTCATAGATGTGTGGGTTTATTCCTGGGCTTTCAATTCTGTTTCATTGATCTGTGTGTCTGTTTTTGTGCCAGTACCATGCTGTTTTGATTACTATAGCTTTGTAGTCTATTTTGAAGTCAGGAAGTGTGATACCTCCAGCTTTGTTCTTTTTTCTGAGGATTGCTTTGGCTATTCGGGGTCTTTTGTTGTTCCACATAAATTTTAGGATTCTTTGTTCTATTTCTGTGAAGAATGTCATTGGGATTCTGATTGAGATTGCATTGTATCTGTAGATTGCTTTAGGTAGTATGGATATTTTAACTGTTTATTTTTCTAGTCCATGAGTATGGAATATCTTTCCATTTATTTATGTCATCTTCAGTTTCTTTCAATAATGTCTTACAGTTTTCAGTGTATAGGTCTTTCACCTCTTTGGTTAAATTTACTCCTAGGTATTTTATTCTTTTTGTTGTGATTGTAAATGGGATTGTATTCTTGAGTTCTCTTTTTGCTAGTTCGTTATTAGTGTATTATTACGTTATTAGTAGTTATTAGTGCATACGAATGTATGCAGCTGATTTTTGTTAAGTTGATTTTGTACCCTGCAACCTTTTTTTTTGTGTGTGTGAGGAAGATCGACCCTGAGCTAACATCCACTCCAATCCTCTTTTTTGCTGAGGAAGACCAGCCCTGAGCTAACATCTATTGCCAATCCTCCTCCTTTTTTTTTCCCTTTTTCTCCGCTAAGCCCCAATAGATAGTTGTATGTCGTAGTTGCACATCCTGCTAGTTGCTGTATGTGGGACACCGCCTCAGCATGGCTGGACAAGCAGTGCATCGGTGCGCACCCGGGATCTGAACCCGGGCCGCCAGTAGCGGGATGCGCGCACTTAACCGCTAAGCCATGGGTCTGGCCCCTGTACCCTGCAACTTTGCTGTAGTTGTTGATTGTTTCTAATAGTTTTCTGGTGGATTCTTCAGGGTTTTCTATATATAGAATCATGTCATCCACAAACAGCAAGAGTTTCAATTTTTCCTTTCCAATTTCAATACCTTTTATTTCTTTTTCTTCCCTAAAAGCATGGCCAAAACCTCCAGTAATATGTTGAATAGGAGTGGCAAGAGTGGGCACCCTTGTCTTGTTCCTCTTCTCAGAAAGACAGCTTTCAGTTTTTCACCGTTAAGTATGATGTTGGCTGTGGGTTTGTCATATATGGCCTTTATTATGTTGATGTATTTTCCTTCTATACCCATTTTATTGAGAATTTTTGTAAATAGACATTGGATCTTGACAAATGTTTTCTCTGCACCTATTGAGATGATCATGTGATTTTTATTCTTCATTTTGTTAATATGGTGTATCGCATTGATTGCTTTGTGGATGTTGAACCCTCCCTGCATCCCTGGTATAAGTCCCATTTGATGATGGTGTATGAACCTTTTAATGTATTGCTGTATTTCGTTTGCCAATGTTTTGTTGAGGAGTTTTGCATCTATGTTCATAAGCAGTATTGGCCTGTAATTTTCCTTCTTTGTGTTGTCCTTTTCTGGTTTTGATATCAGGGTAATGTTGGCCTTATAGAATGAGTTAGGAAGAGTTTCATCTTCTTCAGTTTTTTGGAATAGTTTGAGAAGGATAGGTATTAAATCTTTGTTGAATATTTGATAGAATTCTCCAGAGAAGCCATCTGGTCCTGGACTTTTGTTTTTTGGGGGAGGTTTTTGATTACTGTTTCTGTCTCTTAACTTGTGATTGGTCTATTTGGATTCTCTGTTTCTTCCTGAATCAGTTTTGGGAGGTTGTATGAGTCTAAGAATTTATCCATTTCTTCTAGGTTATCCAATTGGTTGGCATATAGCTTTTCATAGTATTCTCTTATAATCCTTTGTATTTCTGTGGTGTCTGTTGTAATTTCTCCTCTTTCATTTCGAATTTTATTTATTTGAGCCTTCTCTCTTTTTTTCTTAGTCTGGCTAAGGCTTTGTCAATTTGGTTTAACTTCTCAAAGAACCATCTCTTAGTTTCATTGATCCTTTCTATTGTTTTTTTAGTCTCTATTTCATTTATTTCTTCTCTGATTTTTATTATTTCCCTCCTTCTAA